CGGAAATTAATAGTTACATAATAATAACCGATAACGACATTAATGGAGGAAAAGTGATTATTAGATACAATGGATGTAGTGGATTTAGATTGCAGAACCAGCAACCCGTGGGATGCAACGAGATATCCCTTTTCCCTTATGAGCGAGATTTCAAACGCGACGAGAATTATTTTTTTTGAAAAAAGAAGAAAAACTGTAGTTACAAATGCTCATTGCTATAACATGAATTGGAATCGCTCCCAGGGAACATAATAACTCACAAACTCAAATATTAACATATTGAATTTTCAGGTGAATAATCCGAATAAATATGATAGAAACATAATTTTCCTACATACCGAATGAATGATCATATTGTCAATTACACATGAATATATAGTTCTTTATGATGGCGAAATCAAGTCAGATTCTATTTCTCTTTGAATATTCTTTCCGCATGACATGAAGATAAGTTTTATTTTTTATTTCTAACATGTAAGTTTCAATACCCCTTATATTTAATTTATATTCAGTCCTCAACATATGTATATTAATTTTAATATATATTAATGTATCATTAATGTATATTAATATAGTATATTAATGTATATTAATGTATATTAATAATAATATATATTAATTTCAGCATATGTATATTAATATTACTGTTCTTAAAAATATCGCATGCAACTACGAATATATTTACCATTCTTAAATCTCTATCTATAAAAGGCAAGATGTGTGTGTGTGTGTGTGTGTGTGTGTGTGTGTGTGTGTAACGAACGCACGGCCGCAATTTGCGACGTATTTGCACCAAAATTTACATGCACATGCTCCAAGTTAACGGTAAGGCATTTCCCAACTCCCATCGATAGTGGAAATAATCGATTTTTTCATGCTTCTACGGCAGTTTTCATGTAGTTTGTGGCCATTTTCTACTGGCCATAGTGAGAGCCTATAGCTGGCTGCCACGAATAGGCAGGAAGATTCTATTGGCCAGCGTCAGAGCTAACAGCTGACTGACACGAATGTTAACTAGTATGCTACCATGCAAAAAAAAATATAGCTGCATTCGTCACAAGTGGGAAAATTTAAATCTGCATGGCACTTTACTCCAATTGGTTCATTCGCTTGCTTAAACTCAACGTTGATTCTGATTCCGCAGAACTGGGTTGGGTGTTAAAAAGTATTTGTTGTTAACATTCTTTTTTCATTCGGTTTTTCCAGTTACGAGTCCTTCTTTAAAGCTGATCGTTTTGTGTTCATTTTGTTTCGTTCTTTTTTCGTAACAGATTTAATATCTAGTATAGAGCTTCGAAAAAATTGGCAGTGTGAGATAGGCAAGAAATAAGACATGTAGCAACATCAGCACGGCAAAGGGCACTCCTTTAAATATTTTAAGTCAAGTGATAGCGATTGTTGTATCAAGCACGGGCAACGCCGGGCCATGCTGCTCGTCAGATACTAAAATCAATTAAACCTTTTCATATAATTATTTTTATAATTAAGCCTTTTCATATTATAATTATTATTATTTCATTTTTTTATGGTTGCATACATGTATATTTCTTTGAATTCATTCCTTAACTTAGTTGTCGATCATCATTTTTTATTGATACCTAAGAACCACCCCTTGAGCCAATTTTAATAAGACGAAGTATAAATTTATAATGTTATGAAATGACGTAAGAGATTTATTCGGGATTTCTTTATAATTCAAATACATCTACACGGAATCATATATATATAGATAGATATATCGTCATCCACAGACAGACAGTTTCGCTGTATCACAGATTATCAATGTGGTTAGACATCCGATTGCCTCAATCCGGGATCGAAACCCAAATGATTTTGCATCAGATGGATACTTTACCCCTATGTCTCGCATCGAATGCTAGACATACCATGACATAGCCACACGTCTCACCTCTGCATTTAATATTTGAAAATCATTGAACTGTGAAAACGGTAAAGTTACTCTAAATAAAAAGTTTAAAGATTCCAATTGCATTTATCAATTTCCAACTTCTTTTTCATATATATATGTGTGTGTGTGTGTGTGTGTGTGTGTGTGTGTGTGTGTGTGTGTGTGTGAAGGATGAGTGATGATCGCATCCCAAAAGTTTTTTTTTTTACAGTGAACTCCATAGTGGTCATAGAAATGTTGGTAGACCTTGGCTCTGTTACGGTTTTTTGGGTATATAGCTCATAACTAGTGAGCTAGTCAGAATGACTTATTTCCCTTTATAGTCGATCAATAGAAGGTTGACCAATCAGAAGCCGCCCAACACTGTATTCATCGTGTACAAAGGCGGCCATCTTGTTTCCTCCTACCGGAAGGACCAAAGGCGACCAGGAGAAGGATGAACTACACTCTGCCGTGATATCCACTGCGAACCTGAACTACGCTTTCCTACTGTCTCCGAAATATTCACTGCCAACCTCTGGATTCTATACTCGAGGACGACCGCCATGAAAATGTCTAACAGGCTCAGGTATAAAGATAAACTGAAGAGAAACCTCTCTTGTGTCAGCATTCCATTCAAGAACTTTGAAGAGGTAGCTATGAAGAGATCAGAGTATCATTCTAGCTGCCATTCAAGAATAATGCACCATCAAGAAGTAAGCATCAGTCGACTACAAGAAACACGAAAGCAAAATAAGACAGCTAACAGTGTTCTTGCTGCACTTGAATACAATATATTCTCCTGTACTGTTTGTGGTCATTTGTGTAATTCTCGAGCCGGTCTCACAAGTCATGCCTGTCATAGGCATGCAAGTTAATTAGTTCGTGGTCGTCGGAACCTCATTCGTCGAACTCGACGGATGAGTCCATATATATATATATATATATATATATATATATATATATATATATATATAATAAAATGCTTTAAACACTAATCAGACCATAAATTCCAAAAATGCTTTTCATCAGATTTTGAATTTGTAAATTGATGATTTGGATCGTATTTTTACGATTCCAATGGAATAAATTATGACCATGGGATATTAGTGTTTAAGCCTTTTTATTATATCCTTACTCTGTCCTAGACATTGAGTTCTACCTGGATCCTTCCTCTTGAAATTTTTTTTTTTTTTTCTGAAAATATACATGTATGGGAATTTTTTATATATATTTTGCATATGTATGTATATTTTCCACTAATATTATCAATATATATATATATATATATATATATATATATATATATATATATATATATATATATATATATATATATATATATATATATATATATAATAAAAAGGCTTAAACACTAATATTCCATGATCATAATTTATTCCTTTGGAATCGTAAATACGATCCAATTCACCAGACCTACAAATTCAAAATGCTTTTCATCAGACCTACAAATTCAAAATGCTTTTTAAATTTGTAGGTCTGATGAATTGATCTGTAATTACGATTCCAATGGAATAAATTATGACCATGGGATATTAGTGTTTAAGCCTTTTTATTATATCCTTACTCTGTCCTGGACATTGAGTTCTACCTGGATTCTATCCTCTCGGTATTTTTTATTAAAAAAAATAAACATGTATGTGTATGCACCTATGTATATATATTTATCTATTTTGCATATGGATGTGTATATTTACCACTAATATTATCTATCTATCTATCTATCTATCTATCTATATATATATATATATATATATATATATATATATATATATATATATATATATATATATATATATATATATATATATATATATATATATATAATATATATGTGTGTGTGTGTGTGTGTGTGTGTGTGTGTGTGTTAGATATTTTATACAGGAAACTAAAATTTACAATCCAAAAATGACGGTTGAATTTTCTGAGACGCATAATAAGGAAAGTAGGGTTTTTTGAGTATTTTACACCCATAGGACAAGTGAAGGCAAGATGAGCAGGATGTATAGATAGCATAACAAATGAAACAATGTTGGTATTCGGTCAGGAGTTATTTAGATAGAAGATAGGAAGCAAACGATAGCATGAATTCCAATCTAGTGAAAAATAAAACAGCAGATATAAGAAATAGACACGCGTATGATAAACACGCCATGATTTAAGTACATGATATAAAAATTGGAACCTGTTGCTTAATTTAAACTTTTGCGCCATTTTCCATCGATTTTTTAAGAGTTTCGAGCAGGGTCAAACGTTAGCATTTCGAATGAATACTGTTTTTCAAGATTGGTAACAAGCAGATGTATCAAACATTCCCACTTTGCCTTCAATCCATATTAATCTTATACAGAGTTGTCTTCCCTTGTTAATCTTCTTATATATATGCCGTGTACCTTCATGGTGTTAGTGATCATGACTCTCCCCAATTTCCTCTCTTTTGTAACTCTTAATAATTTTTTTGTTATCACTCCTGCTATCCATTGACTCAAGGACGCGTTCATTTCTTTTGTCCATTCTGCCTACTATATGTCCCGTGTGTATCACATTTTCCAAGCCCTCTTATCTGATTATGTGCTCTTGAGATGTCCAATGTCTCTTCCTGATATTAATTATTAGTGCCCTTTCTGTTTCCGTCCTGAATCCGGCATCAAGGCCTCTGACCGGGAGATTGGATGTTTTAAGAAGTCTGGAACCACTTACTAATTACTGTCGTTTCCAGGTATACCAAGTCGTAGCAGTTAATAGGACCCCAGTTATAGGAAAACAGTGAACTGCCAAAAAAAAAAAAATCCGTATACGAAATGCATTTAGTCGAAGCCATAAAATTGCATTCAAAATATTTATATTTCGGCATTAAATAACCCATAGAGGTGTTGATATGCCGCTAAACAAAATCGACAATCAATAAAATAATGCAACCCTCTTTATGTCAATGAAACCTGATCTACAAAGTGATTTCTTATAAAGAATATATATTCTATTCACACGAACCTATCCTAAAAATCTTGTCGGCATTAAATAACCCATTGAGGTTGATATACCGTAAAACAAAATAAACGAAACCAAACTGATTTCTTACAAAGCATGCATATTCTATTCATACGAACCTATCCTAAAAAATCTTAAGGCTTTAAATAACCCATTGAGGTTGATATGCCGTAAAACAAAATAAATCAAATTAAATCTTTTTCTTTTCAGTTTATCTTCGTCATTGATTAAATGTTCCATCCATGGTATTCTTAGCCTCCTTATGAAGATATAAAATCGTTTAATATGGGTCTGTAAAAATAACACACAAATAGGCATACGTTTGTGCGTGATTGTATATGTGTGTATGCGTGTGTTAGTCCGTCCTTCGGTCCGTGTGTGTGCGATTGCATGGATTCGTATGCTTGACGATTTGGTCTGGGATGTATGTGGAAACGAGGGGGAGCTCTTTTCGATCGTTTAATTCAATATGCACTTAATCGAGTTTCGCCCTGAATAGATTCAATCAGAAAAGGCCAAGGATAAACTGTTGCAATCAAACGACCTTTCAAATCCCGTCAAAATGTACACGGAACAAGATAACCTTTCGACCGGACGCTTTTAATCAAACACGCCGGATGTTTGGACTAAGGAGATAAATGAAACGGTTCGTTTGCTTCGGAAAAATGCATGCGCCAACACACACACACATTCATGGACACACGTAAACACAGACACAAACCCAAGGAGATACGCACACTGAAGTACATCTGGGCGAGCGAAAGTGCACACACACACACACACACACACACACACACACACACACATACATACATACATACACACTCAAACATGAACACACACAAGCATGAACATACACACATACACACACGCATACAAGCATAAACAACCCCTGAAACACACCTGGGCGAGCCAACGTGTGCTCTCTCTCTCTCTCTCTCTCTCTCTCACACACACACACACACTCACACACACACACACACACAAACATAAACACACACAAGCATGAACATACAGACGCACACACAAGCAGAAACAACCCCTGAAGCACACCTGGGCGAGCCAACGTGTGCTCTCTATCTCTCTCTCTCTCTCTCTCTCTCACACACACTTTCTCTCTCTCTCTCTCTCTCTCTCTCTCTCTCTCTCTCACACACACACTCAAACATGAACACACACACTCAAACATAAACACACACAAGCATGAACATACAGACGCACACACAAGCAGAAACAACCCCTGAAGCACACCTGGGCGAGAAAACGTGCACGCACGCACACACACACACACACACACACACACACACACACATAAACACTCAAACATGAACACACACAAGCATGAACATACACATACATACATATACACAAGCAGAAACAACCCCTGAAGCACACCTGGGCGAGACAATGTGCGCGCGCGCACACACAAACACACTCAAGCATAAACACACACACACACACACACATAAGCACAAGCGCATATACGCCATTTAAGGAAAATACATGCATGCATGTGCCATTTCGAAATTGTATAATTTGGAATAAAATAGACCGATAGTGTTGTAACCTAGAAAATGTTACTGAATTAGGAATAACCAAAAACGGAGGTTGGAAATGAAATGGTAATCTTTATAACATCAACAAAATACAATACTCGCCAGCGGCGTGAAATAGGTAAACCACTGTTAGTCGGGAACTATTTAGCATATTACCTCCACTTACAATAGAATCCAACGTATTTCTCAGTCTTGGGACAAACCCATTAGTGTACACAGGTACGGTATATAATAGATAGATAGATAGATAGATAGATAGATAGATAGATAGATAGATAGATAGGTATGACAAACCTTCAGGTGAGCCAAACTCTTAGCTCCACCAATTGCAACATTTAACGCGAGGACTCATCATGCTAATCCCCTGGAGTCGAATCAACCATATTTTCTTCACTTTTAAATTATAAAGAGGAAGTTACACTCAGAGAGACTTTTGTCCAAGAAATTCTACTTTGTGTCACAGACTCCGGCGTGAATGTTTCCCGGTGTTTACAATCTTAATCTCATTAAGTAAGGTCCAGTTGTTATAGATCATCTTTAGACTCGTAATTTTCAATTCCTTATATTCATACTACACACTACATTCTGTTTATTTTTACATTGATTGACACTTGGGACTTGCTAAACTTTAGTAATAGATAGATAGATAGATAGATAGATAGATAGATAGATAGATAGATAGATAGATAGAATGAAATAGTTTAAAAGACTCAGATAGATATATAGATAGATAGATAGATAGATAGATAGATAGATACGTCCGAACCGAACCGAACATGTTAGCTAGCTACAGAACAAAATACTGGAAGATATATATACTGGAAGGCATCGGGTAAAGTTTTCGCTAATATGTAGAATCGTCTAGGTAGGTAATGCGTTGATTTGAAACTCAAAGATAGATAGATAGATAGATAGATAGATAGATAGATAGATAGATAGATAGATAGATAGATAAGCAAAGAAAGAAAGAAAGAGTGACGAGAATAAACTGATTTAGGTAACTATACATATTTGAATAGACTGTAATTATACATGAATTTATATATATATATATATATATATATATATATATATATATATAGATAGATAGATAGATAGATAGATAGATAGATAGATAGATGTGGATTTAAGCAGAATGTCATACAGGTAGGAGACGGCCAATGCTATTTTTGTTATTTCTTTATATGAACAGACAGTGAGTATAAACAAATCGATCGTCCAATTGACATTCGCTGACATACGTTTTTTCCCCCATTGAAAAGAGTAGCGTTTACTGAGTTTGTTCTCTGAAATTAAGATGACTTGAAATATTTTTCCCGACACCCATTCTTTTCAATATAAGCAACGGAAGAAAAAAAAAACAGAAAAACTAACAACCTGCTGTGTCTACTGGACGTGGGCGATAATGACTAAAAACATTTTCTTGTACTTTGTCGCTCTTAGTAAAAAAACTTTTTTCTATCTCTCCTCATCCCTGTTCTGACGACCATTTTAAAATACACTTTGGCTAGGTTATTCGCTGTTTTCTTCTGTCTCACTAACATTCTGTATACGAAAATCCTCTCCATAAATCAGTATGGCTGATGCTAACCTCCAGGAAAGTGACTCTTTACACCTTCTCAGGCTAACGTTCTTAACTGATATGAAGTGGAAAGATTATATTAAATCAATTGCTAGTTAAGCTACTAAGAAAATTGGTTCACACTGTCGTACGAGACAATTTTTCTAACCAAAATCTATCATACTTATCTATATGTCTGCCCTTCGTCTATGCTTAGAACATGTTCCGATGCCCCTACTGTTCACAAAGAGCAAAGAATCAGCAATATTATTAGTCCTGATCCCTCAGCCATAATATTGCCTCCCTCCTCTTCAGACACTTTTCCACCGCCTTAAGATTGCTTCCCTGTGTCTTTTCTAGAATTACTTTCATGATAATTGTTCCGATGAAGTTTACGCTATGGTAATTCGACTTTATGAATTTGAGTGCAATATTATTGACATTATTCGGACTATTTTCCTCATCTTTGTCGCCATATTTATCACAACGTTTCGGCCGTTGTAGGCTCCGGCCTTCTTCAGGTGGTTGGAATGTCGAACTGAACCCTTTATTTCGCTCACTGGGGTAGACTGTTCTTGTTCCACGTGCCATGTTTAATGGATGTCAGTCATCAGTTATCTTCTGTTTATTTCTCCTGAAAGTTCTCCACTGCCTTAACCGGGTATTGAACTCACACTCTTTGGGTCCTGTCTTTGACATTCATTAAACATGGCACGTGGAACTAGAACAGTCTACCCCAGTGAACGAACTTACTGCCAATCAAGTATTGCGCTTAAGTATCTGTCTATATTTCTGAGATAAGGTATTATGTACATTATTTACATTATTCGGACTATTGTCCTCATCTTTGTCGCCATATTTATTACAACGTTTCGGCCGTTGTACGCTCCGGACTTCTTCAGGTGGTTGGTATGCCGAACTGAACCCTTTATTTCGCGCACTAACATAGATGACACTTTAATAATTAGGAATTAATAGTACATTTTTGTGAAACTAGTATAATAATATATTAGAACGTAATAAATTTTTTTTTCTAAAATAGGACATTCTTTTCCGAGTAACCTAATAAATATAATAGTTACAATCTGTAAGCGATCTGGGATTGCAAAGGAAATGTTTGTCGCAGATTATTTCCACGTCGCCGAGAATAAATCAGACTTGAACATCGGGGACAGAAAGAAAATGCCGAAAACTCGATTCGCAAGTACTATTTCACAAATCACAATGCACGCAACCAGTCAGAAAAATAACTCCCTCGCCAACCAACGTGGCAGCCAAAACCACCGACTTTTTCCCCCGATTTAAGAACACCGACTGCTTTTATCGGCCGAACATTTTTTTCCATTCGTCGACAGCTGGGAGAGGATGTTCAGTAATTTGCATACCAACATAATTTTATGGCAACTCTTGCGACGGACTTGTTTTTTAATTCAAATATTCCATTTTCAGCATGTCATGCGGAATACGTACCCTTTTGTTTGGTAATTTTCTTTTTCGCCACTTTTTCCGTCGTAGAATACACGCGACGCTCTGTCGCTTGATTTGACGAGGTAAGTCGCCGTTTTCTTCGCAATACTATCAGAATAAAATACTTGTAATTTCTAAGACACAATGGGTAATAGGAGCGAAAAGAATTTAATAAGCGTAGGACATAATTATGCTATGTGGGACAGACGGAAAGAGTTTGTGAAAATGGAAGAAAGGACAGCGACAAGGATGAATAGTTAGGGGACAAACCTTGCTTAGAGTAAAAGTTGTGGAGAGCTATAATCGCCCTCGACTTCAACGGCGAAGGCAGGAAGAAGAAGCTGAGAAATTACGCAAAATAACTGTTTGTATGAAAATGGTTGATGAATAATATTTTGTACCTTAGCTTTCGCGTATCCATCCTATATATGAAGAGATCACGATATGCAAGGAAGTGGTTGCTGTCGCCCTATATATGCCAGTGAATGCAAGACAATCTCCTCACAGATAAAGAGAGGACTTGAGGCAACTGAGACGTGACTCTACAGAAAGGATTCCGATAATATCAAGAAAGGTGCCTGTAGACAACGACGACCTTTTAAGGAAAATAGAAGCAAAGGGGTTACCTATAGACATAATCTGAAAGAAAGAAAGAAAGAAAGAAATGAAGAAGGAAGGATAAGAAAATTTGATGCTCACAAGACGTCTCAAAGACGGGAGGAGCGTAAGGAAACAGCGAGTAATGTTTCTAACGATCTTCTTTAAATGGATACCAAAAGTGAAAGCACGGGGTGGGTAGTAAAAAGACAAACATAGCTAAGGGCTACAACGGATAGAGTTATAATCGACCGTATCTTGAAGGGACGTGACATATAGAACTGATTAATGCACCTCGAAGAAGAGGTAGATTCATACCTTTCCAAAGTGTATTTGCGCATAAGTGAATATAACGAACTCAACTGGAATTAGAACTCGACTCTCCAATTAACAATTCAAAGCTATTATCCTCTACACCACCCGCACATCCAAGCTTACAGAACCCGGTATTCCCAAGCGGTCACTCATTTAAGTACTTGCCAGACTCGACGTTGTTTAACTTCGGTGATCGTATCTATTTTGGACTTGTTCTTACTCTCGTAGAGATAGAACATAGTAGGAGGAACGTTACAGTGAATGTGCCACTTTTCCAGCGATGATACGTATATATAAATTAAACTTGACTTGGGGTAAGTCTGAATCCCAACAGGCATTCAAGGTAGTGAGCCACCTGGGAAGAATATCTACCATAATGATACATATGTTCAATGTATACTCCGCGTCTTCGGCGACTAGTCGGCCTTTAAACATAACCCTGACCTCAAGAGGAATTCGTATAACTGATCCATCACTAAAGATGAAGGAGAAATAATCGATTCCCTGTATCGCTCCAGTAAGTACGTGACTCATCGTGCAATCCTTTAATTTTACATGGGACAGATCAGGCCCAACATTGGGTACTGCTTTCATATTTGGGCAGGTGCTGACCAGTCCTCATTTTTTCCAGTCTCGATAGAATTCAAAAGCGTCTATGCGTCCTTGCGGGTGACAAATTATTTTCCACGCTACAAACCCTCTCTCACAGACGAAACATCGCAAACCTCACACTGCTCTATTGTTAACCCCGTGGAAAGTGCTCAGACGGACTAGATTCCTTCGTTCCACCAGTTCTAACATTTCATGGCTAAGACACGCCATGCTAAGCATCTTTGAAGCGAACCATCCTCATTAGCTTCGTAGTCCACTGGCGGTAAGTAAGTTTTACACGAGCACCTTCTTCCCGCGAACTACAGTACTGTGAAACCGACTCCCAAGAGGATGTTTTCCCGATCACAACAATTTAATCTGCTCAATTCTCGGATTAATCGTTATATCTTCCCCACATATCCGCAAAAACATTACCTCTTACGCTTTAAAACTCTACCTGGAGCGGCTACCGTCCTTGTACAGAGTGCACATAAGTACTGTTTCTGTTTCAAGAATATTCTTAAGATTTGATTTATATAGGGGACGATATGAATACCTCCTACATATGACAGCAAGATATACCCTCCACATAATGGTAAGACATTAACTATATTAATAAACCATTGTCAGTAATGCCATTCCATTATATAAGATGTATTTTTGGGAGGTATATATGTTTATATAGTGGACGACAGGAATACCTCCCACATATAGTATCATGACGACCAAAAATGGTAAGACATTCGCTATATGAAGAAACCATTGCCAGTAATGCTTTTCCATTATGTAAGCGGTATATTTTTGTGGTATATATGAGAGCTGTTTCTGTCGCACCCTGTACATGCAATTATTGATGGGAAAGATAGTTGTTCCGTATGAATACGATAAATCGGAACTGTCATATCACACGTTACGTAAACAGCTCGCATGTCTATATCTGTGTTGTAATAAATTTGTATACATGAATATATTCATCACAGTACATCCTTATCTGCAAATTGTCTCCGTATCTCCGGAGAAACATGGATAAGACAATTCAGTTAAAATAAACCAATTGAGTTTAGTAAATCGATTTGTTTTCCGTTCTCTGAAGTCTTCATTGAATCTCGATTGTGATATCATTACAAAGAGACGTTTATCTACCACTTCCTCATATGTAAACACCAACATACTCATATATATATATATATATATATATATATATATATATATATATATATATATAGATATAGATATATAGATAGAGACAGAGAAAGAGATAGGCAACAGTCTGTTTCATGCTAGATGCAATCGTCGTGGCTTGACGATTGCATCTGGCATGAAATAGACTGTCGCCTCTAATGTTGACTTCTATGTTCGCTTTTATATTAACACACGTTCTATCTCTGATATTGAGCACTTTATCCCATAAATATAGCACATCTTAAGACTATATTTTCATATATATATATATATATATATATATATATATATATATATATGATAATTTTGTTTTAAGGTATACTATATATGTGGGTAAAAAGTGATCAATATCAGGACAGATAAGAATGTAAATTCTTTATGATAATGTAGTTCCAGCCTATAAGATGTGACAAAGCAAAGTCTAGATGAAGTCTTATAATAATAATATATATATATATATATATATATATATATATATATATATATATATATATATATATATAATATTAGTGGTAAATATACATAC